GGGTGATTTTCAGCTTAGAAACAGAGATAGGGTCTTTCCGTTCCACAGGGTGTTTGGGATGCCAAAAAGAGGGGAAATGTCCATTCCTCCTGACAGCGTAACGTATTCGACTTACTGTGCTCTCCGGAACGAACCGTTTACCTTGTCGACGACAGCGAAGTGAACGTGACACCGGTAGACCCTTTGCCGGTCTGCCCGCCGGTCGTTCCAGACGCAATTAAGATCCGCAGGCAAAACTCAAGCCCTCAGATTAATGGCAGCTTTCGAGACGAGGATCAGCCAGTCGTGGGCAGCTAGTTTTTTAGGCCGACTGTTCGAGGTGATCAGGCAGCACAGCTGCCGAAGGGTAGATTTTTGTGACGGCGTCTGTGCGATGTTCGAAGATATGTCGTCGGGCAACCGACCGACCATCCGACCGCCCACCCAACTGACCATTCGACTGACCGACCAACCGACCATCCGACCGGCCAGCTGGACTGCTGCACTCACGTTTCAAGTACGAAACACGAAGTACGTCTGGCAGAGATCGCCTGTTTTATTTACCCACCAGTTTGCCGCCGTTGCTGCCGTCGTTGCGGCTGTAGTCGACGACCGCAGCGGCGGCGACGGTTGTGAAAAACGTCGCAGAAATTCGCCATAGTCTGAACATGCACCGACGACAACACTCGCATTTTTTTCTAGTCTCTGTCGTGGATAATTGTGTGACATATCCAGTTGTCGTTGCGGTCGTAGACGTCCCGCTCCCGCCCGCCAAGGCTGACGTGCGGTCTGCGGTTGTCGTCGATATTGTCGCTTAGTCGCCGACGGCGAACTCGTCGCCGTACGCAACCTCATCCTCAGAATGATGAACCTCAGTTCGCAGAAGCAGCCGTCCGGCTGCCGTCGTCGTCGTCGTCGTCGACTCCGTTCGAGGAGGAGGCATGTCCAACGCACTCAGTCAAGTCCTGGTCGTTTTTCTCACACGGAACACTTTTCATTGCAAGTATAAATCGCCATGGAGAATTGATACGTCTGTCCTTGCTAGAAGCAAAAACCAGACGCTTCTTCGGCCGGTCCAGTTACACTCGTAATAAAGCTTATTCATCCCATCCAGTCCGCCGTTCGCCGCATGCACATTATGCCCTACAGTAATTAATAGCACACAAGGGCACTGCGTTCGGTGCACATCAGCCGTCGTACCGGTCG